GTATTCACTCCTGCGGCATCCGGCTTTTGCGTATTCCAGGCCCCTTGATCAAGCCATTGCTTGGCTGATCCGAAATAGGTGAGCCAGTACTGAGTAAGCTATCTCGACTCTAACTCTATTGTTCAGGCACCTGAAGCACGCATACAGCTTTGTACCTTCACTCGTCGTGCAAACCAAAACAGGCAACAGCGACATATCGACGAGAAGAAAGGGGAGTCGATGGAAGGACTCTTTATATGACAGTACACTGTATCGGGCCACAGGCGGATAAATCAATCCTTCTTCGTGGACAACTAGTGTATTGCCTAGTGGGCCTTATATTCGAATCGCAAGGAATTGGCAAAATCTATCTTTGATGATGGATTGAATGCAATGAAAATACAGCAGGCGGATGAGCCAAGTTTAGATGAGGAATACATAGTTGGGAGCAACTATCACGAGGTTTGTGATATATATTCATGGCCCTTTTGACCCATCTTCTATGGTTTGAAATGCCTTTGATTTAAGAGAAGCTTTGTGCGAGAAGGTCGCTGGAATCCGTGCATTAGCGTTGATGAATCTCTACTGACAAACAGAATTCACATACGTAGTATTGGCCGGTTGTCCTGTGACGGCGTGTTTGGCATGTTCGACCAAAGCAGCAGACAATTCTGCGGGCGTCGTCTTGCCTCGTTTCCCAAGTGCAGTGGCTAGGATTCCTGCAACTTTTGGGGCGGCCATTGAAGTACCAGAAAGAACTTGAGTCGATTCTGGACCTTCGATCCCTATAGGAAAGTTCAACATCAGACGGTTGTACTAACATTTTTCCAGCTTTACGACGTACATGCAGCGGTTACACCCACGCCTAAGGCAAACACGTCGACTTCAGGGCCAAAATTGGAGAACGATGCACTATGGACAAGTCCGTCAGCTTGGCTCCGGCTCAGGCACAGTAAGAAATACCTTTCATTGTTTCTATCAGCTGCACCGATAGTATTGGCATCCCTAACTATACCGGCAATTTAGAAGGTAATAATCTTGTATAAGCGTGCCTTGGACTCACCACGAGCAGGAGATGTTGCGTCAGCATCCGCACCGGCATTACCAGCGGAAACTACAACATGAAGACCAGAGTCTACGGCATTCTGGACTGCTAGGTCCATGGCATCATTGGATGGTCCACCTACGCTCATGTTGACAACACTGAGCCTTCCGGATTGTGCAGCAGCATTCATAGCCCATTCGACCCCGGCGATAATATCGGAATAGGGTCCATTTCCCGATTTGTCGAGCACTCTGACGGCAATGAGATGGGCCGCTTTCGCAATTCCGTATTGTGCACCCGCGGCAATCGATGCTGTGTGTGTGCCGTGGCCATTTTCATCTATATCGCTGTAATTTCCAAACGTGGCTCCCCAGACGGCGCGACCACCGAAATCATTGTGCTCAAGGTATATGCCAGTATCTGTGAATCGGTGTTAGCTACTCCCATAGGTGAGTCCACACCGACTTCATACCAATTCCGTAGATATCTACTCCTTCACCGTCGGTGCCATTTGTAGGGGTTTCCGCGCGTTTTCCGAAAGCATCGACCATCCTTGGTTGCGGCCTGCTTCCAGTCCAACTGATGGATGCAATCGAATCTTCTACTATATAGTCGACGGAAGGATCAGCGAGTATCATATCAATGGCCGCTCCTTTGATATGTGCGTTGTACCCATTGAGTGCTGTGGTGCTTGATTTCAACAAAAAGTAGATGGGATCGAGAGAAGTCGCGTACCTCGATTGTATTGTCTTCTTACATGGAATGAATTGTTTTCATCTGCAATAAAACCGGTGGTAGAGACATGTGAGAGGTGCGCTGAGCAGTTGGTTTCCTTCTTGAGGACCCTGCCGGAAGCAAGTGTAAGTT